TAGGTAAAACACAATATTCATTTTCTTTTTCAATAATATGCCTAGAACACTGCTTCCATAGGTCTGTGGCAGCAATATGAGATACTGCATCTCTTATTGTGGCCAATAGCGATTCACTTAATTGAGGGGTCTGATTATGTTTACAATACAGTATTTGATACTTTTTCGAATTTTCATTTTTGCTCATACAGGGTGATCAAAAACGCGAATTGTACTTTTTCTCAAAAATTTCAAATGCTCTATATTGGTGCAAGTTTGGATTCAATTTTTTATAAGCTTTTTTTTGGTATAAAGTTTGATTTAGATAAAATCACTAGATTTTGAGTTATTAAGCTTTTAATAGAACAGCACACCAAAATCACATCATCCATGGAAACAAAAGACAAACAGTGGGCTAGTTCCATATTGCCACTAAGAGTATAGATTTGATGTAAAAACTAATAACAATCAGAACAGTATAAATCAGCTTCCAGCGCAATAGAGAAAAACAACTGTAACAACAACATAAACAAACAACAACACTACTCAAAACCTAATCCACAAAAACTGCTCGAAATTATCTCCACCATGTTGAATACAGAGCCGTAGTCTTTGGGTAAATTACCGTTACACATCTCAGCCTTTATCTCATTTGTTACTTTTTCGAATTTTAATTTTTGCTCATACAGGGTGGTCAAAAACGCAAATTGTAGTTTTTCTCAAAAATTTCAAATGCATCACCCTTTATATTTGTACTTTTTTTGATACTAGACACATAAGGGTTTTTACGGCAATTTTTTCGGTTATTAGCACGTTTTTTATGGAACGGATTAATTCCCTAAAATATCGCATCATCCTTGGAAACAAATAAATTGTTGATTAGTTACAAACTGTCAAAATTAGCTTTGTGAGCATTATAATAAAAACACAACCAAATTTCAAAATGGCGGACTGAGGGATTGCCGAAGTGGGATGTTTTTCTAGACAAAACAACTTATTATCTCAGTGGCTAATTACCGAAACCTCATAGTATGTCCTATCGATCTTCTTCTTTTGAATTGGTTTATCCAAATATGCAATAAAATTTGAGGCATTCCATTTGAAAAATCACAACTTTGATATGTAGGTCGAAATTGGAACACCCTGTATAATGAACAGTATCTTAGAAATGTGCCCTCAAATGTCGTGTATAACATGCGATAAATAGATTTTCCCAAAATGTATTTGTTTATGAGTAATATTCCGTCCACACATGGATGGGCCACCCTGTACACAGATATGGTGGCACTACACAATCATGGAATAATAAAAGTGACGTTACTATCTGTCTTGCCGTCACTACTTTGAATGATACTGTCCGTCACTCTATTTAAGAAAAGATTGAAATTTGTAATAATGGGAAATAAAAGATCATCACCCAGATTTTTTTATATTTATCTGACAAGTCTTATGACTTTCCCGCTTGACGACAACTTCTGGAGCACCCTGTACATCATCGTTTGACTGTTCAAATGACCGCGGTATTTACATTTATGTATACTTATCTGAAGTCACTTGAAATAGCATAAAAACCTTTGGTCGGCGCGTCCTTTGTAATTTCATGACGTATCATAGGCGTGCGGTCATTTATTTAGAACGATAATAATAATGTTTTTATATTACAATAAATAGATTTTACTATTTTCTTATTTTTTTGATTTGGGATAAAAAATACTTATATTGGGAGTTTAATTTATGTTGACTGAAAGTTAAGAAATGGAAAAATTACAGAATTCCAACGTTTGACATAGGCAAATATTTACGTAGCAGGTAGGTATATAAAAAGGTATATAAATACTTACATTATATATCATCCTCGCCTTCGGAGCTGTCGCTAGAGTCATCTTGTAGAGGAATTACAACGGGATTTACATTAGGTAAAACACAATATTCATTTTCTTTTTCAATAATATGCCTAGAACACTGCTTCCATAGGTCTGTGGCAGCAATATGAGATACTGCATCTCTTATTGTGGCCAATAGCGATTCACTTAATTGAGGGGTCTGATTATGTTTTCTTACTTTTTTTTTAAAGCAGCCCAGACCAACTCAATCGGGTTAAAAATGCAGTAATAGGGAGGTAGACGTAATACTTCATGGCCATTTTGCTGAAGCAGATTGTCAACAACATACTCTTTTTCAAATTTTTGTCTTTTAATAAGATCCAATAATATGGCTTTGGTTGATTTTTGTGGTATTTCGATTCCCTTATCCTTCATAAAATCAATAATGTCTTGTTTTTTTGTGCCTGTATTCGGAATTTTGTTTTTCTGTCGGGAATGGTATGGCGCATTGTCCATAATAATCACTGAATTTGGGGAAATGTTTGGTATTAACTGCTGCTCTATCCACTTTTCAAATAAGTCGGAGGTCATGTCCTCATGATAGTCGGCACATGATTCTTTGATATTTTTGACAGATAACAGCAAGGCATTAGGTATAAATCCATTTTCACTGCCAGCATGGAGAATAATGATTCGTTTTCCACGGTTGCATGGTGCATTTAAAATGCACTTGTTGCTGTCGTCAACCCAGCCGTACTGCACAACATCATGGGTATCATACCACGTTTCATCCAGGTAAATCAGATTTCTTTTCTGCTCTCTATAGATTTTAACTTTGTGCAAAAATTCTTGGCGCAATTCAACGATTCGAGACGACTCCATAATCACCATTCTTTTATCTAATTTGTTGTATTGAAACCCACACAGTTTTACAATACAGTGCAGTGAGTCTAAGCATTTGTAATTATAAAAATCTTCAGGATAATCTTTTAATTTATCCCGTATCATTTCCAACGTGGGCACCAAATTTTCTTTATAAAATCCGTATATTATACGACGAATATCTTCCTGAAAACCCACGTCTATTCTTTTTAATTTTTGCCCTATGCGCTTTCTGTGGAAGGAATGGTTGACTACATCTCCCCTTTTTATAACCCGATAAATGGTAGACCGACTGATTTTTGTCAGGATACAAATTCTGTTTAAAATTTGATTTTGCGAGGAATCTGGATTTTCGTTTTTCAGGCAATCATACATATTTGGGATTACTCTTTGGGTTTGTTCCTCTAAATCTTTATGAAAGAATTCTGCCTGCACAGGTTCATCAACCATCTCCTCGTGGCTTGGAGCATTTTCCCAAGGTCTCCAAAGAGCCATATTTAGGACACACAAGAACAATCAACACAACAATTAAATCAACAAGTAAACTGAGTATTCAAAAGTCAAAAACACACAAACTAATAAAATCTATGAAAAAATACGGGCAGACTAAAGAAAACACGTTTATTCACCGCTACACGGCACTGGCTAAACTGTTTCAATTTTCAGTAGCCACCTGCACTTGTTCGGAGCTCTGAAATACACGCTTTCTCATTGGCTATGTGCACGCATAGGCGTGCTTTACTCCACGTGGACCGGTGAAACTGCCTTTGATCTTATACGGGGGATATTTGCTGCGAAATTTGGGGATTTTTGCAGCAACAGAGCGTTTAAATATAGATACATAAAACGCACCCGGTATTTCACAGTGTTTCAAGTGACTTCAGATAAAGTATACATAACGTTCGAGTTTCTATTATACGAAGATTTTGGAATCCTCTGATGTGTTTTCGTGGATGTGGAGCAAATGTCGTTCAAATCTGTGAGCCATTGAGCATAATTTTCACCAATTTTCGGAAGTTTGATTAAACTGAAACTTCGCACACGTATCAAGGACCGCTGACAATGCAATAATTTGATAACAGTTTTTCACTATCCTTAAAAGAAGCCAGAGCACTGGCCTTGTAAACTAGTGTCGTGAGTTCAATCCTCACAGGAGGCAGATTCTGGCACACCTTTTTTTATTTTTTTGAAACGCTTTTATTAGCCTGGACTGTATGTTTGGGCTGCACAGTCGATCATTTATCTAGGCTCGCGACTGTTTCCTGCTGGATGATAAGCTTATGTAGCACGTAGCCGTGTTAGATCTTATCGGTATTCGAATTGATTGCTATAAGTGTAACAGGAAAAACCCCATTCATCAATGAAGCTCTAAATGAAATGATTAGATTACGAAATGATTCACAAGACATTTCAATACCACATGTCCACAAAAAACTAATTAATAAATCGAACTAAAAAGTAGAAAATGATTTTTAACCTTCCAGTACTCGCGCGGGGAAAATCACGTAGGTACTCGCGTGGGGTACTGAGGTACCTCAACCTGTTTTTGTGTTTCTTAATTTAAATAAAACAATAGTTGGAGCTTTTCTTTAAAAAATATATTCACACAATTTTTCTAAATGCTTTTGTAACAGAACAAAAAATATTCATTTACGAAAGAAATGCTAACATAAAATTTATATAAAATCCTAACAAATCAGGTCTCTGAAGGTATAATATGGCAAAAGCATCTATTCGCTGTCACAATTGGTTTCTATTTCTCTGCTATCAAGGCAATTACTGCATACGAAATTTTGATGAATTTTACATATCCACTCAACACATTTTACGCATGTAATTGGAGTTTTTCTATCAGCTGATCTGGGACATAAATAGCACCTACCCTTTCCAAGTTTTTGTTTCTTTGTAGTAGCCTTGTCTGTTGCTAGAGTAGTTTCCTCAATGTTCAGTAAAGCGATAGCCCTTTTCTTTATATTTCTTGGGATATTATCCATATATATTCTTTTCATTATTTGTGGCCGTACTAACTCTGCAGCTAACTCTCGCCGGAAATGTTAACCTTCCAGTACTCGCGAGGGGAAAATCACGTAGGTACTCGCGTGGGGTACTGAGGTACCTCAACCTGTTTTTGTGTTTTTTAATTTAAATAAAACAATAGTTGGAGCTTCTCGTTGAAAAATATATTCACACAATTTTTCTAAATGCTTTTATAACAGAACAAAAAATATTCACTTACGAAAGAAATGCTAACATAAAATTTATATAAAATCCTAACTAACAAATCAGGTCTCTGAAGGTATAATATGGCAAAAACATCTATTCGCTGTCACAATTGGTTTCTATTTCTCTGCTATCAAGGCAATTACTGCATACGAAATTTTGATGAATTTTACATATCCACTCAACACATTTTACGCATGTAATTGGCGTTTTTCTATCAGCTGATCTGGGACATAAATAGCACCTACCCTTTCCAAGTTTTTGTTTCTTTGTAGTAGCCTTGTCTGTTGCTAGAGTAGTTTCTTCAATGTTCAGTAAAGCGATGGCCCTTTTCTTTATATTTCTTGGGATATTATCCATATATATTCTTTTCATTATTTGTGGCCGTACTAACTCTGCAGCTAACTCTTGCAGGAAATGTTAATTACAAGGAGTTTATATACACTAGTAGAATTAGTGACCTCAAAATACAATTATAATAAAATGTAAGTTATTAACAGAATATGTAATTCAATTCGGAGTAAAAAGCCTGTCATAGATAGTTGCCAATAGAATGATTGTAACATTTAATACTCGTATATCAAGCACTCCTTTTACTCTGAATTTGAATTATTCTGCTAAAAACTTATATTTTATTACAATTTTATTTTGAGGTCATTATGATTGATTATTAGACCATCTACTACTGTTAATACAAACTCTTTGTAATTGAAAAATATTTTCTACTTTTTAGTTATAAAACATGTTTTTTAATTAACTATTATTTATTTTATATTGAGAGCATTTTAACAACAAAAACATGCCTTCAAACTTACAACCTCAAAAGGAACAGATTTTGACAGCAATGCAGTTTTACAGTACGGGCTTGTCGAACCGATTTTAAGCGCATCGTTTTGGTCGTAGTCTGACGTAAAGATATCTGACCCATGGATGACCTAGTGCCTAGGGCATAACCGCGGTATTTTCAACTTTTTATTGCACTGCCGATATCATAGTTCATTGCCTGCTAACGTTATATGGTAGGATGAGGCACACTACACTTGTTATACGTCAGGGCTCCCCACTCAAAGTGGTTTCTTAGGTTTGACCCTCATCTTGACTACCTGCCAGTACAGCGTTGCCAAGTTGACGAAAGAAAAATCTCATTAAAAAATGTGTTTATATTTGAAATGCAGGATTTGAATAGGTATTGGGGTTTCCTTTCTAAATCTTTCGTTCGAACTCTTCACTCTATAAAATAATGCCTAGTTAGGGATCTGATTCCCATAATTTGCACTATGTAACAGCTATTCGTATAGTCTGCGCCACGCCTGCTCGCGGTGAACGCCACCTATGGAGAAATGTCACAACGACCTATAGTATAGAATTTACTTTTTAGGCCATGAATGGCCTTCGCTAGTGCCGTCTCTGAAACAGATGATATTTTCAGTCAGACACATCAAACTGGTACCCAGCGATCTAAAATACCGAAACGCTGTCAAACAATACAATTTCGACGCCATTTATACGATTTTCAGTACGACAGGGTTATTTGGGTCGTTGGTTTCAAACTTGGGATTAGTTTGTCTCTATGATGGCATTTGAGGGTCACTTCAAGGTCATATCAAGGGCATTTTTAAAAGAAGCGGAGCGGTTGATCCCAACCGCAGTTCATTTAGAAATTTGTTCGTACAGTGGTCAGTGACTGTTGCTGAGCTCCAAATGTATGAAATCCGTCTATACAATGTGTTTGGTCACGACATACCGATATTTAAGGGGGGTATTTTTCAGCTATTTTTATCGACAAATCCACCCCCCTACAATGTCCTACCTCACCCCCTTGAAATAGCAGCTATTCTTATTTTTACGTTACGATAACGCGTGTACGAAAATTGTAATAATTGAGAACATAAGAGTCACAGAATGATAAATTTGGTGTCATTTGAACGATAACATGTTCCAGCGATTATTGAAAAACTTGTATTGATACTAACCGTCAAACATACTTAAAAACAGAAAAAAAATGCAAGAAAATTGATTATTTTGTGCATTTCTGCACACCATTCAAGAACTAGTTTGTGAAGTTGTACTTTTTTTTGCTAATTCTACAGCTACGTATGTTATCTACAAAATGACACCAAATTTCTTCTACGTTAATTAATAAATGCTATCTAACATGGGTCAAAGTATACATAAAAATGAAAAATCAAAGTTTCTTATCAATATTTTGGACATGTTTAATGTTACGGAAGCTGTTCAAAATGCCCTCCATTATTGGTTATGCACATTGTAGTTCTTAAAACAATGTGTCGTGTTGAGCAGCGGGTCATATCCGTGTCAGCTCTAATTTCGTTCGCAGCGATATGGATCCTTTCCACGAGCTCTTCCCGTGTCGTCGACACATGACAGTAGACTTTTTGCTTCATTGTGTCCCAGAAAAAATAATCTAGGGGCGTTAAATCGGGTGATCGGGGTGGCCAAGCGACAGTGCCTCCACGTCCTATCCATGGAGAATGTTGCCTATCCAAATGTTCTAGCGCAAAGCGTGTGGGAGCTCCAACCATATGTTGCGGCGGTTGATAAATGGCGTAGATCTGAAAACCCGGTTCTCAAGTCCAAAAATCCCTGGCCATCTAACCTTGGAGGTAGCTCAACTGGGCCGGCTAAACTCCGTCAATTACATCAAATTCCTGTTGGAAAGGGCTCAAGGTCGGTTCATGCAAGACTTAACGTAACTTAACTTAAGAAAATGAGCATTTAAAGCGCATGCGCGGCCAGGATTGCCAATGTAGCAATGGCGGCAATATCAACATTAAACACACTAACAAAACTAACGTCAAGGTAGCAGATGAAAGAGTGTTTTGTGGCTTTTGTGTTGCGTGGACTGGCGGACCAGCCTTGACATTGACAAGTGGCCCCTCCCCACTCGCTTGCGCCAATGCACTGGTAATCAAGTCACAGAACTCGGATAATAGTCCAGATAATATCGAAACATCTGCTCGGAAAAATCTTCCGATTCCGATTTTTGCATAATCTGATTCAAGGACCTCTTAAAGAATCTGCATGTGACTAGGCTCAAAATTGCTCCAAAAACTGTTATTAAATCGATTCCAAAAATTGATTTGTTCGCTTTGTTTATAGTATTTTGCGGTTTTTAGGACATTCTGAATAAAAAATGAGCTTTAGAACTTTTCTCTAGACTTGATATATACAGGTATAAGCAAGGTAAAAACTCAAAATATGTCATTTGCTACCCTAAAAACAATATGAAAAATGAATATTATGATGTTGCCAAATCTCACACATGCTTCAACCAACCAATAACAAAACCCCCAGAGCATTTTAGGGAGTACAGTTATTGTAAATATTTGCATAGTAATTATGAATTGAATGCGCGCTCAATGTGAACGCGAGAGAGAGATGAAATATCTCTCGTGCACGCTGAATATGCATTGACCGTCCGCTTGCATATCAATTAAATACAAAGATTTTTAATAACAGTATCTCCTAAAAGGTATCGCAATTGTGTTAATGGTTATTTATGAAGCATGGCGACATTAACATTTTAGTTTTTTCAGATCGTTTTTCGGTATCGCAAAATCAATTTTTTGTACTTTCCCATCTCGTACAAAATCAGCTTTTAACAAACATTGCCAAACATCGTTTTGTTTCGGAGTATCAAAAAAAAAACGAATACTACCTTTGATGAAGCAAAAACCTTAATTTTTGGAATTTATTTGAAAAAGTTGTACAATTAGAGACGCAATTTGGAGCCTGACAACATGTAGATTTGTTACTAGGAGGCTTTTTCGAATAACATGCAAAAAGTCCGAATCCGAATATTTTCCTGAGCAGATGTGAAGATATTTCTTGGACTATAACGACGGCAGCGCTTATCAGGAATGTCAGGAATGTGTCGGCGATTTCATTTGTTTACATTACGAAATCTGACTGATGACCGTCCCGATATTGAGGCAGTTCGATAATCATAGATGCATAACACATCCTCAATAAAGGAAGTATTTCTATCAGTTTGGCTAGTAATGAATTTCAGGATAATAAAAAAATGTATAATTAAAAAAATATTTATTGAACAGTCCCAGCAATAATAGAACAAATTCTTCATTACAATACATACATAGAAGTATTCTACTCATCTGGATTTTTCTCTATATTATGAACCTGATCAGACCAATATCATGCAAGCACTATCTCTTGTTAATTGATCATGTATATTTATTGCGAAAACATAAATACTAAAATAACAAAAAATACATCTGTAGTTAGAGGACTGACTGGAATACAAATATAATCACTCTGATTTATGTGAATCAAAAATAGTTTTGCACACACTGTTAATGGGTAAAGGCAAACAAAATTGTCCTCAACAAAAAAAAACACATAAAACACTAATTGTTTCTTCAAACTAGGAAACAAACTCCTTATGTCATTGACAATTAATTTGGTATCCATAAAATAAATGACGATCTTCACTCCAACTGTCTCCTCGAAGGATGTTGACACTGTGAAACAAAAAAAAAAAATTATTAGCATAATATCACTGTCATATTTGGTCAGCAAACACTAAACAGAAACATAGTCATCTCACCACGCCCCTTCAGATGATACTGCTCTGTACATATGTATAAATTCCCAATCTAGCAGTATACATTTGATTGCCAAAATTCTGTGTGTAAACAAATTTTCATTGGTGATACCAAACACCAGTCCTTAATTTGGCCCTTTACCAGATTTGTTATTACCAACAGTACAGATGTCACAAAAAAAAGTTACGTGCTACTCATCTGTTTACCTCAATAAACTTCAAAAGAGATTACATATTTGGTGGGCTGCGAATACACCTGGTTCGTAGTTAATGACAAAGTACCTTCACAGTGTTCTGTGAGGTTTTGGAAAAACATGTCATGGGGGGCATGGTATAGATTTAAATTCTCTTTTTTCTTCTGTAGGGGCTATAATTTGCCAACATCACCACTGGTACAGTCTCAGACATGGAAGTGTTTGTATCTATCAGCTATGAAGTCAGTACAACAAGCACAAAATTTTATGATCATTTCCATTTTTTTTTCGTTCTCTATAATATAATTTCAAAATCCTCTATCTTGGTAAGTGGCAATTTAGGACCCATGTTTATTTTTTTCATGCTGTTTTTTGATCTACTTTATGATGTAGCAATACTGATATGTTTTGCTGAAACTACCACTATACGCACTTTCTTAGGGGATGAAGTAAACATGACCACTGACTTTATTTATTATAATTTTTAACATCTCTGATTTTTTTTATCAATCCGCCCCGATGTTCAGCTCTAAACTGTCATGCGTAAGCAAGCGGAAATAATTTTTCATACAACTATCACC